AGTAAAGAGAATATTAATTTCGTTTTTAGATTTTTAGTTTTTAAATTCGCAATAATTTTAATAAATTTAAAAATATAGATATACGCATAGATATACGAGTAAATATAATTTCAGTGATTATAAACCTTAGCATAAAAATATTTATTATTTCATTGATTACGGCTTGCTCATGGATAAATAAATAATATAATATATTATATATTAATTTTAAAAAATCGATTTTGTTTTTTTTAAATATTTTTAAAGTTTAACGAATCAATTTTATCCGGAGATATAGATGGTTGATCACGATAATCCTTTTCGAATTCTTTCCTCTGCAAAACTTAGAACGCATTTTTCTCTTTTTCTCAAAACTGTTTTTTTAGAAACGATACCCACGATTTCTCAACTTCTACTGAACCGATTTACTTAAAAAAATTACAGAGTCTTTTTTCTAGTCCTCTTCTTCAGTATAAACTACGCTTATCCTCAAGCTCCGTTTCTAACAATTTTTCAAAAATTCAAGAATATCAAAAAAGTAGTTTTTGTTAAAAAAAACAGTCGATCATGCTGAATCGACATTATTCTAATAAAATGGTACACATAATTTTTTTCTTCAGATTATTTTGAGACTAAAATCATGGGTATGGTCAGGTACCAATTTTTTGGGACCCCCCCCCACTTCATCGCCTTCTAGAATTAAAACTTTGATCAGTTTTAATTTTAATTTTTGTTTAAATTCTCAAAACATTAGTCTCATCTCAAAACTTGTATAAAAATTATAGTAAAAATATTGTTTGCCTTTTATGGCCTTGAAAAATAGCATAAAATTCACACCTTTAGACCAGAACACCCCCTTACTACAATATGTGATGTGTACTGATACTATGCTCAATACTAAGTACCATATTAGTAATTATAAACACTATAAAGCATAAAATCTCTTGTTATATGATATTTCAATTTTGGTAAAAGTGCAAAAAATATGGTAATAATAAATTAGGTCGTTTTGGTAAAAGTAAAAAAAAAATAATGCGACCGAAGTCATAATATATTTGATTTTACTACAATATGCGATGTATAATAACTAGCATTGTCGGTGCAAAAATTATTACAAAACGCGATAAAAAAGACAAATATTTCCATAAGAAAAAGTCAATCAAAGCCGTTTCGAGATTCCATACTACACGGAGAGCAACTATGATCTGTGGATGGAGATACATCGCTTTCCATTGAACTTTGGGAGAGAGGATCAACCAAGTACGAGAAACCATCGGATGCATTTGATATCGTTTGCTTATATCAGACGATGATACTGACGAATCTGAGATTTCTAATCTGCGCGAATAGATTTCGGGATAAAGATGTACCGTCATGCATGCCGCTCGAGAAATTTGATTAATTCAAATTAAACGTCGACATTGCTTCTTGGTCATAATTGCGATTTGGGGCTTGTAATATATTAATACTTCGAACCCTTGCTTTTGATGACACCTACTTTTTGGTGATTTATAAAAATTATCATACCATTCTATCAATGTGACTAATGTGGGTCAGGTTCAAATTGATAGTGCAACCATATTTTAATATTTTTTATATTTGTTTGTATTATTTTATTTTCTAAATTAATTAATGTTTTATGATACCCAGAAAAACAAAACATTAATTCATATTAAATGTCTACATTATATCTTTCCTATTATTGTCATCTGGAGTTTAGAATATTTATTGATACTTCAAACATACCTTTTAATTAACTTCCAGTAGGGCAAATTATAGTTATCACAAAAAAATCGAAAATAAAATTTTTTATATATCTTTACGTTTCAAAACCTTCTGAACATTTTGGCATACCTACGAAAAAAGGATGTATGTGTGTGGGTGTGATACAAATTTTCGTCGACGATTTCGGGAACACGGATGAAGCGATTTGAATAATTCAAAAAACATTCGATTCGTATTGATAAAGAGACGTGCTGATTAGTTTTTGGCGAAGGCAGGTCTAGCCGTTCCAAAGATATGGGTCAAAAAGTACCAAAAACGGTAACTCAGTTTTTAAGAGAACGGAGCGTCCGATTTGAATAATTTAAAAACCATTTGACTTGTATTAACAAGATGAAGAACTGATTAAATTTTCATGAAGGCAGGTCTAGCGGTTTCGGAGATCTAGTAAAAAAAATAAAAAAATGCCATTTGGCGGTGAAAAATGATCATTAGACATATGCACATCAAATTATCAGATATTTTATAGAGATTTTAATAATATGTATAAATTTTGTTTACATTTCTATGAGTTCAATGTTTATCCGTTAGACGGCGACGCTTTAAAAAAAATTTCAGAATTTCCAAAATATTTCAAAATAAATTTTTCTTCAAAAAGTCTTTTTTTTTCAAGAAAAGTAAATTTTTGTCAAAAATTTATAGTTTCTCAAAAATCTAATTTTTTCAGAGTAAATTTTTTTCAAAAATGTTAATCTTTTTAAAAAAATATAATTTTTGGTACGGGAAGTTCCAGCAATTTGCCTTAAGGCACGATGCCATGCGCCCCACTAGTTATATATAATTATATGTTTGCAATTTTAAACAAAAATATTCATATTATTAAACCAATGTGGTTCAAGTTCAAATTGCTTATGCAACCACATTTCATCGCGTTTTATATTTGTTTCTTTTATTTATTTTTATAATACATTTCTATTATAACTAAATTATAAAATCATTTTTATTATCTTGTTTAAAATAAGTTTGTGAAAAGACTAATTGATCAGATTTAAAGAAATAAATAGACATCACAATATAAATCATATAAATAAAAATGCAATTATTAAGCTCAATATGTAAAAAATAATTTTCTCTATAAAATTTCGTCCTTTTCCACTAAAATATTGGAATTTCAGTGCGTGCAATTTCAGTAATAAACAGATGATTCCCACTGGTTATCAATATGTGAACCATATATATATATATATATATATATATATATATATATATATATTGATTGCAAAATAATCAATTTTATTGCATACAAGTTGTTATTGGCAATAAAATATAATTCGTTCATCTGAAGGATTTATTATTGGGTCAATCATCTAACCAACTATGATATATCAACTACGTAATCAGAATAAAGTGCTGCAGATTCCCTTTCTTATCCTTTCATTTTAATCTATTTGAGCAATATTTCTGGTTTCTTCTTTATTATTGTATATTTAATAATATATATTAAATTTAATACATTTTGAAAAAAGCGAAGAAGAGTCAAAATTAAAATCTTTTCTTGATCTCATTTCAATATTGCAATATATTGCTCAAATTCAAACAAATAAATAGACGTTGCAATGTTAATATAATATGCATTTTTTTGATAGAATGATAAAAAAGTCCATATTTTTCAAATTTAATTATTTGTATATTTTATGAATAGAATTTTGGGAAAATTATATAATTGTGACCCCTACCCTAAATATAAATCCATACATACAAGTCCATATAAATCAATAAAAATAGAAGAAATTGATTTAATATTTAAATATTATACATTTAAAAACGCATAAAAAAGTTGAGTTCGTAATTTTCGTAATTTTACTCTCTTTGAACTCTCTTTTTGTTATCAAGAGCACTAGGATGTGTAATTTCAAATCTTGAATTTTTCTTTTCAAAGAATATTTTGTTAGATTGCTATTTAATTAAATTACTTATATTTATTATAATAAATTTTGTGGTGTCACCACTACATATGTATATTTATATAATAATAATAATGGGTAGTGCTGCCCCAGATCCGTGAGCTGAGTTAAACTTCAACTCAATTCTGGGAAAAATAGTGTGAGAGGTTTCCCATTGCCAATTCACACCGCAGTGCCCGAAATGGGCTATTTTTAATTGGAAACATATTAGAAATTTAGAATTACAAAATGTAAAAATTAAACGAAATTTAATTAAAAAAATGTTGCTCCCAGGGGCTTAAATGCTTCCAAATTGATAAAAAAAATCCTGTATAAGTTTTAGCTCTTAATATTTTCTTTTAGATAGTGCGCAATTCAATCAAAGTTTTATATGGAATTTTTGTTTCTTTTTCTTAATTACAATATTTATTACAACTGTTAAATAATTTAACATCTAGCAATAATAATAAATAATAACATAAATTTAAATAAATAAGAGTACAAAGGATAGATTTTACATTAAAATGATATCCGTAGTATGATGATTTAATATAAAATAAAAGCAAATAATAATAAAAATCAAATTAATAAATAAAATAAATAAAATTTTTGAATAATATAATAATACTGGAAATAGCATGGAAAAATTTTCAAAAATTTTAAAAATGTTTTTTATATATAACTTAGCGATCAAATTAAATTGTGAAGATGACACGAATTGTAACTTTTAATACATTTGTCGCTAAGTTATACCTTAAAAACATTTTTGAAATTTTCGATTTTTTTTCCATACGAAGCTTTGATTGAATTGCGCACTATCTAAAAGTTAATATTAAGAGCTAAAACTTTTAGAGAATTTATTTTTATCAATTTTATTTGAAGCATTTGAGCCCCTGGGAGCAATAAAATTTGAAAATGTCCATATTAAGGACCACCCTAATATATATATGTATATATATATATATATATATATATATATATATATATATATATATATGTGTGTGTGTGTGTGTGTGTGTGCGGGTGTGGTTTGTGTAATCTAAACAGTTTTTTTCTTCAAAATTTTATGTTAATTATCTAAATCACACTTTAATCCTTTTGGGCACAAAATCAAATGAATCAATATAACAATTATATTATCCATGCAGATGTATTTTCCAAAAGGTTAAACAGGTGATAGTCATAGAATACAATATTATTGTCCGTCCGCTTGTGGGATGCAAGAAACCCGGCAGCCGAGCGGACGAAAACGCGATAACGCGGTTCGCGAAGAAAACGCTCTGGGAAGTGAACGTCGGCCGCCGTCCCAACTATCCCCGCGAAAGATTCGAGCAGCTGAGTAACAGATAAAAGATTATGACGCTCTTCGTTCATCAGTTGGACGGGGGAATCCCTATATATACGATTGAAGATCGCATCAAATCACACAGCACAGTCACACAAGACAATCACAGACACATCCCTGCAGTGTCCATCTTAGAAAATAGAAACATGAGAGCGTTTGTGGTGAGAAACAAGGATTTATTTAACATTTCTAAGTTCGAAACTTTTCGGTGGAAAATAGTGAGATTTTTCTGGTAAAAAGCTCAAATCGTGCGTCATGATCGATAAACATTCACAGTGAAGGATTTTGTGGATGTAGGATTTAATTTCAATTTGTTAACTTCAAAGTGAACAACGATAAATCGTCTTTGGACGCTGGAAGAATTGGATTTAAAGTCTAACATATGCAATTTTGGTTTATTCAAAAGTACCCCGAAGAAGTCCAAGATTGCTTTCTACGATTTTATCCTATTTTGGATCATACATTTTAAAACAATCTTGAAGTGAATCATGTGATATTTATGGTATTTAAATTATTGGCACGGAAATAAAGTTTGCCAGACAGTGACTTGCAAGTGCCATTACCATTAACATGGTAGTGCAAACATTCGGATTATACAGTATAAATCGAATCCTATCTACTAAAATAGTCGAAACCCTTGAATGAAAAGTATAATAAGACCAAAAATTAAAAGTTTTAATATCAAAAATTTTGAAAATTCTTACTGCTTAAAAGTTCACCATTTTGAAGACACTTTTATACCGCGATTTTTCAAATTATTAAAGTTTTCAAAATCCTTTCCATACGCTACAAAAGTCACCGTATAAAATTTTCTATTTCTATTTATTTCTTCTATAAATAATATATTATTTATTTTTTTCTGCAGTTAGTGACATTGGCGGCGTTGGCACACGCTCGGCCCGAGGCAGGCTACTCATATAACGCACCTGGACGAGGAGGCGGAGGCGGCGGTGGCGGTTTTGGAGGCCTCGGGGGTGGATTTGGTGGCGGTGGTCTTGGCCACGGTGGTGGCGGTTTCGGAGGTGGCGGAATTGGTGGAGGTGGTTTCGGAGGCGGTGGTATCGGAGGAGGCGGTTTCGGAGGCGGTGGCATTGGAGGAGGTTTCGGAGGCGGCGGCGGCGGTGGCGGCGGATTCGGAGGTGGATTCGGAGGTATGTAGGAATAATATATTTTCCCAAAATTTTAAGAGCACGATTTTGATTAAACTTCGTATTTTCACTAACAGTAGCTAACAATAGTGTTGAACAATACTATTACGGAAATAAATGTGAAAGACTTTCGGAAGATCTATTGAATGTAAAAATTACAAATTTTCACAACTTTACAAACTTTCAGAAATTCATGAAAAAATCAATACATTTCATTTGAATTCACAAATTTCTGAAGTGATAATACATAGAATAATGCGTTGAATATAATTTAATCTATCCATGTTCTGTCGAGTAATTAAAATAATTAAGTAGTTAAGATTTAGCTCTGGAATAATGACGGTACAAAGAACACCAGCAAATCAAAACTTAGTGGATTGTGTATTTGCATATATTTCTCTATTTTTTTCATACTTAATCATACTCATTGCATTAAATATGAAAACATAACACTACCATCTTTCCATTATTTCATCTTTTTTCCTTAAAATTAGAAAATATCAATACTGAATAATATATCACCGAACATGTTTCTATCACCTTGGCTGCCTTAGCAATATTCATCACATGTCCTAACATATTAAACTAGTAAATGAAAATTTTCTATTGCCACATCTAATACATACTCTCACATATATTTCTCAATTTCGAAAAGTATTGCACGAAGAATTTCTGTAAATAAATTGGTTTAACGCAACTTTGTTACATATTCTGCACGGTTCTGCATTGTCATCTAATTTATATTTTTAAAGATCATGCTGCCCGCGTAGTTCTAACATTATTCATCATATCGCAAAAAGCATCAAATATATTAATATTATTATTTACTACACATAAGTTACCTGCATGATTAATAATGTGCTAATAAAAAATATAATGCTATTGATCAGTACGAGGGACCGACATAGTTGATCTTTGTCGGAAATTAATGACTAACAAAGTCTATCGTACTCTTCATAATACATTTCTTGTATAGAAAACTTTTGAATGAAAGTCATTATACTAAATCGTTGCTCATATCGTAGTGCAACGTGTTACAATAATTGCCTTTTCAACACGTTTTCTCCTGTTGGAAGAACAGTAATGAGATTGATCTTGTTACCAGTGGCGTTTGATAAGGGGTAAA